AACACTTCAGGCTCTTCAAAATGAACTAGAAAATTTCGTTTTCTATACACATCTTTCCATGCAGTATGATTTTTCCCAATACACAACTCATAACTCAGCGACAGTACCGCCTAAAGAGCTGAAATTGGGTGTGACACTCCAAGAGAAATAACATATAAAAAATATTCAAATCTGTTGAGAAGAACTGAAGTTATTAGCCAAAATTTCAATCGTACCAAAAAGTTGCAATTCACTCATGTACATTCTGTGACGTCCTCATAGTTACATCTGTCATGAGCCACCATAGTTGAATGACTATATAGTTCAACACATATTCACAGGATACCGTATTCCAATCTTGATACCATTAGACCCTGGGCAAGTCCTCTCGAATCACTCGTCCGACAGCATGCTAGCTACGTTGTGATATACAACTGCTCTTGTGATTAGCTAGTGTGTATGAGGAGATCAAAACTCTGTATTAGACTAGCCTTCTGTCCAGAGCTCCAACTAATATTAATTGTAGAGAAAATATGAGGCTATTGAGTCTGCCGCTAGGCGAGCTAAAAGACAGGTGTATTCTTTATTTCTTCTACATTTGTCACTGGCTGTAGGGAAGGTTCAAATTTTTACCCCTATACTTCAATACTTCCCTTATATCGTATTTCACAAAAAACAGAGACTAATAAAAAAAAAAAAAGATACTTTGTTCAGTTGGATTAGGTATAGGTGATTGAGATTGATTTCGTTTAATATCAATGCTATTTTCTGATATTGTTTTTCGTTCGTTATCTAATGAAGAAATTTTTTGTTTTTCTATTTTAACTAATGAATCATTCGATTTTTCCCAATCATACGGATCATCATCATGATAACCTAATCGTTGAATAGATGAAATAAATAATGATCGAAGAAATTCATAATCAGGTTTATCTTCATAATGTAATTCTTTAATATGTTCAAGAAATTTATCGAATTCTTCTGGTAAATATGTTAGAAAACGATTATAATCATATGTTTCCTATTGAAATTAAATAATTCTATAGATAAATAAATCAAAAGCAAAAAAAAAACCAAACAGACTTTTATATGACCAACACTTTCTTTATCTTTTATTTTCGACCATGGTAAACAACCAATAAGAAATTCAATTAACATATAAAAAAAACTCCATAAATCATCATGTCGTCCTAATTCTCGATTATTATGTGCATTAATTGATGCATATCGAATAGTTCCTCAAAAGAAAAATTTTTTTTTTCTTGTATTTTATATAAAATCGACAAACCTCGAAAACCAGCTTCAATTCGAGCTGGTCGAACATGTTGATCATAATCTGTATATTTTCTAGCAAGACCAAAATCAAGAATAAATATTTGTCGTAAATTTTTTTTTCCAATAGCAAAATTTGATGGTTTTATATCACGATGAAGAAAACCAATTGAATGTATTGATTCAATCGCATCTAAAATTTGTAAACTTATACGAAGTGTTGTTGATAATGTAAAACATTGTTCAAATAAATTTCTTCGTAATTCACTTAAACTTGAACCAAGTAATGTTATAACCATATAATTATATAATGTTGATGTACCACCAGATAATAATTCACATACATGTTTACGATTTTGTATACGTCGTAAAACAGTTACTTCCATTCTAATACCTTGTCTTACTTGAGAATTTGATTCAACTTTAACAGCAACTAATTCTCGACGTAATTTATCATATGCTTGATAAATTTGTCCAAAACCACCACCACCTATTTTATGTGTTATACGCCATCTTGATTTAATTAAATCACCTTTTATAAGAAGATCAGAATCCGACATTCATACAATAAATAATGAATTAATGTCAAACTTGTTATCATTGATATAAAATATAATTATGATTCATTTATTAGAATATTTTTATAATTAAATAATAGTTGGATGTTTTCTTTCTTTTTCTAATAAGAAATTAAAAATAGATGAAACAAATCAAAGCTGAAAAAATATTTATATTCATATTTATTTGAAATTTTACGAAAGATATTAATTGTTTGGCGCTTTAACATTAGTTCTAATAATTTATGTTTTAGTTTGCATTAGAAGTTTTTTGTTTTTCATTTAGACTGCCATTGAACACCGCTAATTGATGTGGAGACCGATAGACATTGTTAAAACTTGAAAAGAATGAAAGAAACTATTTTGATAAGATATTGGATTTCAAGGAAGACTGAACCTTGGAATGCAATAGACTTTTAAATACAACTATCTACTATTAGAACAGAATTGTACTTGCTCAGTCAATTGGTTTAGACATTGATTTCAACTGTGATTTGTACTACAATTATTCAAAAATCGATTACTGATGAATAATTCCTCACTTTAAATTTTATTCTCTAGCGAGGGAAGGTTCTTAACTGTGAATTTCCGATTGAGAGATTCTTTCTGAAATTATAGGTATTTTCCTGGTTTTTCGATCTCTGATCAGGTATTAGCTGACAAATTGAATGATGTAATATGCACTAGAAACTTTACCTATAAAGAGATCTCACAGCCCATAAACTATTCGACAAGTTTTAACCGAAATGTATGATACCTTGTAGAAATATTGAATGCTGAATAAGATTTGATTTTTGTATCTTTCTATAAAAACTAATATTTTGCTCCCTTTAATATCTCTAGAGAGGATCATTCATGTGGACTGAAATCTTTTAGACAGTTTATTAGCTGTGAGTTCAGCTAATACGTAAAGTTTTGAATGCATATTTCTTCATTCGGTTTTTCAAATGATACCTAGCTAGAGGTTCAAAAACCAGTAAAATAGTTACAACTTCAGAAGAATTTCGTATGGAAATAAATCTTTTTTGGATTTTTCTAATCTCAACGAGTCTTACATATGAATTTTTTCTAAGTCTTGATCAATAGATTGTAATATGTCATGTATACACACAGCAAAGAGTGAGGATTAAGGTAAAATCTGCGAATAAAAAAGATTTAGATTTTCAACATTTAGCCACTAAACTGAGGTACAATTTTCGTCTTCCACATATCTTTTCTAATATCAAGTTTTCTAAATGTTTTATGATTAAGTATTAACTTGAGATAATTTAATTCATTTATATTATTACATTCTCTATCGATTACTTCAATAGTATCACACTAAAATGCTTCTATTTCTCTATTTTCATCTTCTAATTCAGATAAAACTTGAACGTGACGATTTAGTGTTAAAGTAAGTTTCTATCGATTACGCAAAAAAAACCCATGCATATGTAAAATTTTTGTTCAGATAATAATGTTGCTTCACTTAATTTAAGATTTACATGACAAGAACTACAAATAGATACAAATTCTACTTCTTGTTTAACCCTTTGAGTACGGGCGACCCGAATTCGTGTCTTGAGATTTTTACGCTCAGAATAGTTTTTATAAACATTATGTATTAATGACCCATGTGATTCGAATTGAACAACACCCGCTGGCAAACTTGTTGGTATAATATAAGCAATACCATCAATCAACCAGTGGTAGTTTGATATTTAAACACTTGGCTACCATCTGATTGCCATTCTACCACATTATACCGACAATTGTTCTTTGATCAGCAGTCTACTGCTGTTATACCGTCAGTAATGCAAATAATCGTGTGATGTGAATATTCAATGAAATGGAATGCATAAGAGTTTTTACCTTTATGAAATTTGCCTGATCAACGTAAACTACATTCACATGTAAGTATAGATTTTCTCTTACAGTTTACATAGGTATAAACAGCTATCGCTACTTTTAAAATTTGTCATATTAAACTAGTCATTCTCGGTCAAATTTTGTCCTTTTCACATTGAGATATAGCACATGCGATTCTGTTTACATTATGCGAAACACAAGCAACTATTACCTTTGAAAGTGTAACGGTACGATTTCATAACTTTTTATGTATAGATCAATTTAAAAAAAACATTAGAGAAACAGCTAAGACTTTGCCAATATATTTCATGATATTAAATTAATGAACATTGATTTTTATCTTTCAAAAATTTGCATTTTTGTTTTGAAAAGTAATCCCATACTCAAAAGGTTAATGTGATTATCATCACAAAAGATGTATACTTACAATTCAATAAATTTGTTACGATTATGTTGAATTTTTAAGTGTAAAAGAAGCTGCTCAATTGCCGATTACAAGATTACAAAGATTTGTGGAACATTGAAATTTTCATTCATTAGCTAAAATCTATATAGAATAAACTATTCAACAGGTAATCGTTGAATGTCATTCTTTCATTTCGTTTTTCAAAATACAAAAATTTCATTTAGGTTGTTTTTTTTACATATTGTAATGTCACTTCCAGATCCGAAACAATCGCACCGTAAACAATATAAAATTGGTGTCAGTACGCTCACGTTTTCCATTAGCTCCTAAAACAGTGACTGTTTGCTAGCGAAAAAACAGCTCATAAAATGGGCTAAAGGATTACGACGAAATACATTAATAATTAATGCCGTAATACGTCATTTCCAATGATCGAAATAATTTCTTGGATATTTTTGAATATTTCTCATTCGATAAATCGCTAATCTCATCCTGTCCTATCATATCAGAACGTGACTAATCATGGTAAAATTCCTGTGACTCATACATTTCTTCATATGATCACTTTCTATGAATATTAAACATCCTCAGCGACATCTATTATTGAATAAAAATTTTTTAAAAAAATAATTTGGATAAAATTGATTTTTATAAATTTAATGAAATCTTAATACAATATGATAAAATGCTTATTTCTATTGACAAATGGTATTTTATGGACGTACCTTGTGCATGTGTATTTTTGTTTCAAAGTTTAAAACAGAACCATTTCTGTTCTTTTCGGATTTCTTGAGAATCTCAATGCAAAAAAACCGCTAGTCTTTTGATCTTGAGATAATTTAAATGAATTTTTTTTTCTCGCATTAAAATTATTGTGATTTATTTTAGACTTTTATTGTATTATTTTTTGATTCAATAAATTAGTGAAATCAGTGATCATGAGCACTAATGATGATCAAATTTTGACTACATTAAAAATTCTTATTATTGGAGAATCCGGTGTTGGTAAAAGTAGTCTTCTTTTACGATTTACTGATGATCGATTTGATCAAGATGTGGCAGCAACAATTGGTGTTGATTTTAAAGGTAGAAATTTTCGAATCAAAAGTTTTTGTTTAATGTAATATTATTTTCATTTAGTTAAACAATTAGATATTGATGGAAATCGTGTTAAATTGGCTATTTGGGTATGTATTTGAAATATTTATGATAACAGTAGAACTCAATATATGATAATAAATAAGATAAACAAATAACAAAGATGCTAAAGATCACTTGGTATACTCTATGATAATTCTAAGACAATATCGAAGAACAAATTCTTAATAATGTATAATACTAGAAATTCTCTTTTTATATTCCCTGACAAAATCAAATAGAAATTGGATTTTGAAACACCATTTGCCTTTCTCTAGCAAAACATGAAATAAAAATAAGCAGGTAAAGTCGTTGTCAGGTGAATAGGATTGGGATAAGACCTGAGAGAGGGAAGACCTTGTGGCAAACTATCTATTGTGGAAGAAGCCGGATCACGGCGAATTTCGTTCTTTCCCTTTATCCCGGTCACTGCTTCTAACACTCTGAGAATGAAAGCATTTGCTACCGAGTTTTTAGCCCTTCACTTCTAAAATATATCGACAACTCTGATCGTATATTAGGATAGAACACTTTTACAATAAACTGTTCTATTTAAGGCCTAACTCAATGTAAAGTTTTAAGTCGAAATATGAAAATCAACTTTCCTGAAGGGGATCACGGCAGTAGTAAGCGAATAGCCTGAGCTCTTTTTACAATATTCATAGCTTATTAGGGTCTACATGATCCACATAGTCCCAACTCAAAGAGGATTAATTAATCAGAGGACTTTTCCAACGTTTGATACTTTGTTTTATATAAATATTTGTTTTATTAACAAATGTTATCTTTTTGTAGGATACAGCAGGACAAGAACGTTTTCGTACATTAACACCTGGCTGTATGTATTTTTAATACTAAAATTAATTAATAATAATTTATTTTTATGTTTAGATTATCGGTAAAATATTCTTGAAATGGTAATATTCAAAAGAAAAACAATGTATATATTTATATTTCAGAGGTGCTCAAGGTGCTATTCTTGTTTATGATGTTTGCAATCGTGCTTCATTTCGACAATTGGATCGGTTGTATTTAAAATTGAAAAAAAGAAAAAGAGCAACTTTCTTTTGTTAAACGATGAATTTTTTTTTCTTTTTATAGATGGCTTTCGGAATTAGATACATTTACAACAAAAACAAATATAATTAAAATGCTTGTTGGAAATAAAATTGATCAAGAAGAGAGTCGTGAAATAACACGTGATGAAGGTGCAAGATTTGCACGTAAACATTCAATGTTATTCATTGAAGCATCAGCACGAACACGTGAAGGTGTACAAATTGCATTTGAAGAACTTGTTCAAAAAGTAAAATAAATTGAGCTAATCAAATTAAATTGTTTTTTTTTTCTTGTAATCATTATTATTTTAATATTTAGATTATTCAAACACCATCATTATGGGAAAATCAAGAAAAATCAGAAAAGACAATTCATCCCGATGACAACGATCATCCATATGAATCAACACAAGGATGTTCTTGTTAAAAAAAATAATCTTCCTTTTTTTGTTTCCTTTTTTTTCTTGATTTTGTAAATACAATGGCCGTGCATCATCCTATTTTTGATAGAGCACGTCTAGTCAAGCATATAAATATCCATGGAATCTATATTGTAATTTTTTTTACCTAAATAATGGGCGTTTTGGTTTTTGCTTAATATAAAACAAACGAAATATAGTTTACTGAGCTTGTTTTACTTATCTTGCAGATATGGAAGATGATAATCTATTATTAAATATTATTAGTGAACCAATATCAACAAAATCTAAATTATTAGAAAAAAAATCAGTTGTATGTTTAAAAGTTTTTAATTTGAACGAAAGATATAAGAAGCAAAAAACAACAATTATTTATTATAGAAACGTAAACATGATGTTGTAGAAGAAAAAATTCTTAATAATGAATTAACAAACAAGAAAAAACGACATGAACGTGTTAAACTTGATCTATGCCAAGGACGGGAAATGAAATCTTCAAAACGATCATCTTTATTTGCAAATAATCCAACTATACCTCATGTTGAGGAGTATGTACAAGAAAATAATCTATTTTTTTTCTTTTAATAGGAAACATTTTTTTGTTTTAGTATTAATGTAGAAACAGCCAATGAAGAAATATTTGGTACAGCATCATCAATGGATACAGTGCCAGTACATCCTCATATTGTAAATGAAATCAAATTTAGAAACTGAGAGATTTTAAGTCTATTGAAGTGACATGAGTGGAATTACAGTGGCAGATCTAGAGGAAGACTATCGCCTCCCCTCTAGAATATTTTTTTGTATAGAAAAAGTTTTAAATTGAGCTAATACTATCTCTAATGAACTCCAGATTCCACCATGATCGAGACCATCTTGCTCCTATCTATTTAGATTACATGATTCGTGACAATATGACATTTAATGCAAGTTTTACACGACTATAAATGTATTGGTGCCAGTCCTATCTTGCTCATTTAGGGTATTTCATAAGTTTTGATGTATCGTCGTTTTAAATCTCTGAATATCTTAATGGTATTGCTTCTTGCAAGAATAGTAACACAAATATATGGATATAATGTTCGATTTATCGACACTGAGCAACGAGATTTTTTTTATTGAATGTATTTAAAATTCGTCGTGAACCACTTTTCAATTAGACTTTATCCTGAACAAACATAATTCAAAGTGAACTGAGGCACATGAACGTATTCTGTGTCCAAAGAAAAACAAAACATTATACAGAATGAAAATTTTTCATTTTACACAGTCTTCATAATGTTTTCCTCATTTTAAATTAACCTGCCGTTTAAGGTGTAGTTTATGAATATAAGTACCTATCGAAAATATATAGGAACCATTTGAAAGAGAGAATATATTGCATACAGAATAGAGAAAGATCATGTTGTGATGATCATGACTGATAAAATTTCTAAAAGACTTAGCAAAGTAATAATAAATAGTAGGAATAATTACATAATAGTTAACTAACATTTTTTCTTTGTGTAATAACTTATTATTTGAATCAGTTAAATAAAATGTTTTTCTTTATCTGAATAAAAAATCTCGTTGATCGATTTCGATAAAACGAACATTCAAATTCATTTAGTTAAAGATCATTCCCTGTTGACTTATAATTAATTGTTGTCAATATTCAGAAATTTATGAAATACCCTCCCTATATCTAGACATGACAACTGTCTAATGCTATAGAATTAAGTGTTATTAATGATGTACCAGTTCCTAGAACATGACGTAAAAGATGACATTTTTAGAATGTAGTTCCCTATAGATTGTTTATATCAATCATGATTGCTCTATATGAAGCTGTAATCAAAATACAAAACAAAAGTTTCGATATTAGGGAAAAGCTCGCATTTTTTTTTGATCGATACTAACTGACTTTGACATTTATGTTTTGTATTCGACAAAACCTAAGAATAGCCTTGGATTAAGATTGATCACAACTGACATGAATAGTCACAAAAAACTAAAAAATGCGAATTTTCGACCAATTCAGAAACATTTGTCTTATATTTCATGAATTTCGACTACACTTTCGTATAGAGCAATCATAGTTCATATAAACAAACAATAGGAACTATATTGTTAATAAGGAACAAAAAAAAATATTATCTTTGACGTCATCTTCTAGCAATTAGTGCATTTCTAAGTGATATTGATTTATTGAATGTAATATTCGATAGAAATCTCTTTAGGACTAGCAAAAAGATTGTTTTTTTTATTGAAATGATCCGTGGAAATGTCAAGATATTATGTATCTTCTGTAATGACATTCTCCATTCTTTTTGAGTGTCGACATAAAATTAATTACCTGTTTTATCTGAATAGACAAAATTATTAAATAAATATCTTACAAGTTAAGAGAAAGATGAAATTAAAGTTCTTGTATTATAAATTATTTTTCAAAAAAGTAGTTACTGTTAAAACTTTGAAATGATGTACTCGTCTAAAAGTTTAAAAACTTTATTTTGCATCAATTTACAGAATAATAGAGCTCGACAGTTCTGAGAACGTGTTGTTAGAACTGGTAATACTAATACGTATGGGTTTTTTTTTATAAGTTTCTTTAAAAGCTAAAATGAAAAGACAAAATATAAATAAAGTTCAATCGAACTCTCGATTACGACGTGTTCAGTTTCACAAATGACTTTACATCTATTGTATGAATTTTTTTCAGTTACTATAGATACTCTGAGTTTAGTACACACACACTAGAATAATTATTATTAAAAGAAATCTTTCGATTGCAATATCTAGAATCGTGGAATTCTAAAGGATAGCGACACATAATCAATCAATATGAATTTTTTTTGCTAGTTAGACATTCATTTGAGTAGATCTTACGTTATTTTGATATTTTCTAATAGATTTCATGTTTAAAACAAAAATTCGATATAAAATGTTTAACAAATGTTCAAGAAAAATCTATTCCAGCTATTCTTACTGGTCAAGATGTTATCATTAAATCTCAAACTGGCAGTGGTAAATAGACCGCAAAAAAATACAATTTTAAAAATTAATATAAATTAATCTATAGGTAAAACACTTGCATATGTTATTCCAATAATTCATCGAATACAAATGATTGAACCATTAGTAAGACGTGAAACAGGTCCAATTGCTATTGTACTTGTTCCAACTAAAGAAGTAAAAGAAGAAGTAGAATTTTATTTATTTTTTCTAATTCAAATTATTTTTTCTTTAGCTTGTTCAACAAACTTATGAAGTTTTTCAAAAATTATTAACTTCATTTGTTCGTATTGTTTGTTCACCACTTGTCGGAGGTTCAAATCGAAATCATGAAAAGAAACGGTAAAACAAAATTTTGTTTTATTAATAAAATTCAACGAATTTATATTTTTTCATGTATAGACTTCGTCGTGGTTTAAATATTCTTATATCAACTCCTGGACGTTTATGTGATCATATTGATAATACACAATCATTATCATTTAAAAATATTCAATTTTTAATATTTGATGAAGCTGACAAGTAGAAAATTTTTATTTTTTCTTTCTTTCTTCTTTTTTTTATAATCATAAAAAATTTTAGAATGCTTGATATGGGCTTTGCTGATGCAATCAAAAAAATCATTCAAACAATAACAAAACATTTTGATAATGAAAAACATTTTCAACGTATTCTTTTATCTGCAACACCAACAACAGGTTGGTTTTAAAACTTAGAATTAAAAAAAACACGCGATCTAAATGGAGTGCTGAAGTATAGGGGTGAAAATTTGGCACCCCCTCCCACAGATCGTGACAGACGCTAGTTAGAAACGAAGAAAAATACTCCTGCCTTCCGACAACTTGACAGTATGGAAGGCTGTCTAATGGTAGATTTAATATCCGCTTGAACTCACTAACTAACCACAAGACAAGGTGTATGTCACAACGTAACTAGCATACTATCGGACTAGTGATCCGAGACGACTTGCTCAGAGTCATTTCATGGCTGATGGTACCAAGGTTTGAACACAGTACCATGTAGATACGTGTCGGACTATGTAGGCACTCACGAGAGAAGTACCCGAGCTGCAACTCACCGTTGCAGCTCACATTGAATCTACAAGGAAGTTTGGATAAAACTAGACAAATTCTACAAGGACTTATGCCCATGCGCCTCAGGAGCTGACTGATGACTGTTTTACTAGACAATCAAATAATAGATTTTTGACCGAAAATTCAGTTCATAGATTAGCCTGAAAATTTCATCCGGAAAGAATGTTCATGTGTCGAGATATTGACTTTTCAAGTAAACTGAATTTTTGTGACAAAAGACTGTTTGTTAAAAATTTAGTATCTTGGTAAATGGAGGTTCTTTTAGGATATTCTATGAATTATTAGACCTATCTATGAGCTGAATTTTAGAGCGAAATTCCATTATTTGATTTTCCAGTAAATATCTAAATATAAGTTGAAAATTCAATAAGATGGTCATAACTTATTTGCACAGACCCATGGGCATGAATCCTTGTAGGATTTTTCTAGTCTTACCGAAACCTCCTCGCGATTCCAAAATGAATTACAGTTGGGATAGTTGCCTAGTCATCCATGCGGGGCATTAGTCAGAAACCATTACAGACATTGATTATATACGATCTTTGATCGTATATGGATAACATCTCGTTATCATGTATTCAATACTTCGTAATTGTATTTCTCGATGATGGTGAATAGATGCATCATCCCGAAATAGATAGAACAGAACAATCTCTTCGTGTTTAGCAACGACAGCTACATTGTGTTTTATATTTTAATTTCGCAGGAATTGCAATAACAACTTTTTTTGTTTTGTTTCGTATAGCTTTAAATGAGTTTGTTGATATAAATTTAAATAAAAATTCACTTCGTATTGATATCTCAGAAGAATTTAATGAAGAAAGTGTTATAACTGTACCGAAAACATTAAAACAAATGTTTACTATTGTACCAAGTAAATTACGTCTTGTTACATTAATTGGATTTCTATTAAAAATTTTTAATAATAATGTAAGTTATATGATATTTATAAATTTATATTTTTATATGAGTGAATTTTTTTCTTTTTGTAAAAAAACAAATTAACAGGAGAAAAAAAAAGCAAAAGCACTTTTATTTTTGGCAACAAATGATCTTGTTCATTTTCATTATGATGTTATAAATACTATATTAAATGGTGAAAAAGATGATGATATGGATGAACAAGGAGATTTACAATTTGGACATTTATTAAATCAATCAGTTAAATTATTAAGATTACAAGGAGATATGACACATCAAGTTTGTTGTTTTTTTCGATACAAAGAATTAAATAGATATTATGGATTTTTCTTAGGAACGAACAAGTGTTTTTAATGAGTTTTCTAAATTAACTCGAGGAATTCTATTATGTACAAATGTTGCCGCACGTGGTCTTGATTTACCAAGTGTTACATGGATTATACAATATCATCCAACAAGTCCTATTGATTATATTCATCGAATCGGTCGAACAGCTCGACTTGGTTTGTTTTATGAAATACGATCTAAAACGAATGTTAAAGTATAGAAGTAGAAACTCGAATCTAGTGATAACCTTCATTCGAACTCCTGTTTTATTGATTGTTAGGGTCTATGATGCCGATAACATTTCTAAAGTGATTTGTGCCATTCACGCTTTCTTCTTGAATTTTGATCATTTTACTGAATCGTCAACCTATCACAGGATATGACGAGGGAAACTGAATGAAGAAATTTTAGTCTGAAGTTTTATCAACGTATAGATCTCATGATCCGTCTAATATCCTATAAGCTTCAGCAGAAATGGAGTCTTCTGTGTTAAGATAACAGAAGTCTAAAACTGTTGATTTCTAGCAGAGAGTTCGAACAAGTACGGTTTTATTTTTGAGTATACAATATTGTGAGAAGTAATCATATCTTTTTGCTGAAATTTTCAGGATATTCTAAGAATTATGAGATCTATGTTGTAGTAAAATTTCAGACTAAAATTCCTTGATTCAGCTTTCCTCGTAATATTCTATAATAGGCTAAAAATTCAATACAATGATCAAAACTCAAGAAGGCATATATTCTTTGTTCGAACTTGTATCTAAATAATGGACCCTAACAATCAGCAAAATATGAGTTCTAACGGAGGTCATAAGTTGAAGAATTCTCTGGTATTATTATGAAAGAACATTGAATTTAAGATATTTGACTTTAGTTCCCTTTACAAATCCATTGTCGTTTATTCAGAATTACATCTTTCATTATGACCATATCAGTGCGTTAGAAATCACAAACTGAAATATGTATTATAAAATCCTTTGATTGACAGTTTATACAAATCCATCGTGTTTCACATTTTAATCTGACAGAGGTTTTGTTAAGAGATTTTTATATTTTTATTTAATAAGATGATATGTTTTATTAGGTTCAATTGGTCGTTCGTTAATTTTTCTTTTACCAAATGAAGCAGAATATGTAACAACATTGCAAGAGAAATATAAAATGAGGTAAAAACTGTTTACTGATAATTAAATCTATGACAAAAAAAAAGTGAATGTTTTTCGAAGACAATTATTAAGTTGCATGAACAATCAAAATATTTTAACACGAAAAAGAATTATTTAATAAATGATTATTGACGATCTCTTTTGCATATTCATGACACATTGAAAATACTATGCAGAACTTTCTACATTAGTTTCTATAAACTGTAGAATATTCAATGAATGACTGATCAATACTTTGTCTTTTGTAAAACTATTGTAGTTTTATTTTGCTTCGATAATTTAAAAAAACAGAAGAATACTTATTTCTCAATTCTGAAAAATAAATATATGATGTTTATTTTAGTTTGAAAAGTGTCACACCAGACGATATTCTTGAAACACTTTTATCCAGTTGTGATAAGTTAAAACAACACTTTGAAACTCGAGTAAGTCTTCTTTTTTTTGTTTTATATTAAAGTAACTTAGAAACTAAACTATTTTCTATAACCTGTTTGTCAGACATTGTTCTTTTCTTACTTGTCATGATCTTTTTCATTGTTCTCAGTCCTTTTCGATCTTTCATTTCATTGTGTTATTTTCATTTTTTTTTCTCGTAATGCACAGCTGTTCTATCAGAATCTTTCTTTTTGAAATGATAATGTATATTAATGTCTGATGTTGTCTGTGTATCTATTAGCAATATGTTACCTTGAGACATCTTATACAAAATTATATCGTGAGAAAATTTGTTTTTTTTTTTCGTGGCATACTTCAATTCGATTCTGATTGAATTGGAATCGAAGTTAAATCAAAATAAGAAATTTTTCTCTTTTAAATTTAAATCACTTTAACATTCCATAATGAAATATGAATTATATATTCTTTTCTTATCTATTTTGGTATTGATAAAACTATAGATATTTTAAGTCATGTTTAAATAAGGATGGAACATTATAAGAGGTTCATATTTATATGTTAACTGCATCATATAATGAAAATGACAACAGATTTTATACAAAAATTTACTTTTGTTAAAAATTATATATCTGATTGAAATTTGTTTCGATAATATTTTGATAGATTATTTTTTCTTCGAAAATTTTAGACTGTTGTTCCAAAAACAGCTGAACAATGTGCAAGTTCTCTACATCATCATTTTGAAGAATATGTCAATGGATCCGAAGAACGTATTGAACAAGCTCGACAAGGTTTATTAATCTATATTATCTTATTTATTTCTTAAATTTGCTTTTTTTTTTCTTTGTTTTAAAGCTTATCTTTCATTTATTCGATATTATGCATCATTTTCTCGCGAATGGAAATATTTATTTCATGTCAAAAATCTTCATCGTGGTCATGTTGCTAAAAGTTTTGGTTTAAAACAATTACCAGATGAATCAAATAATCATTCAATTAATGAACGAAAAGGAACATTTGCTTCATCATCAAAAATAAATAAATCAACAATATTAAATGAGTAAATGAAAAAAAAAAAATTTGTTTTCTTTTTAATTTTATTAAATATTTTCTTTTTCTATTATTAGAAATGAAACAATTGAAATTAATGATAAGAAAGATGATAAATCAATATCATCATTAAAAATCGAAAAAAAGAATCATTCATCAATGTCAAACAACACTAAACCTCGACAACGTTTTCGAAATTTTAGTCATATATCAGAATTTGGAAATGGTCTTGAATTAACAACTAAATCTAATAAGAAAAAAGATAAAATTGATGAATTTTTAGAGAAAAAACGTGAACGAAATACTATCAAACGTTTACATGGTCGAAAAAAACAAACTTAATTAAAGAAAAACAAAAATTTTTTTGTTTTGTTTTTATTATTTGAAATTAAATTAAAACAAGAAGAAAAAAAAATAGGTATAAGAAGAAATTTTATTGCTTCTAGATAGATGATTTTTTTCTGTCAGACAATAACAACAACATCAAAAAAAGAGTATCATGCCGATCGGTGGAAATAATACTGAACCACATAAGAAACGTTCAAAAAAAAAACGATCTAATAAACAAACATCAAAATCAAAACGACGAATAACAGAAAAAAATGAAACAAAAGATTCTAAGAAAAATATTTGTGATAGTTTGTATTTATTTTTGTTTTCTATAAAATTAAATTTACCATCTATTTAGCAAATCAATCTGATTTAAATAAATTAACACCGGCTAATTTATCGTCTCTTCGTTGGGATAATATATTAACCGATGCAACGCTTGAAAATGATCGTATTGAACAATATAAAGAACTTCGACGACAACGATATTGTGAAGCTCGACAACAAGCAATTGAAACTTTAATTGAAAAACTGATGAAAACAACTGTTAATGTCTCAGAAAAATAAATGGTGATCTTATTCGGTGATCTCAGTTTTTTATATACCTTTTTTTTTTTTATAAATGAATTTCTAGTTTTCAATTTAATAAATATCTAACTTCACTATACTTCTACTCTTAATGAGAAAAGTGTGAGTCGAAACTATATGTATCATATATCAGATGAGTCAAAATGATTGTAACATCAGGTATTTTGCAACTATCTCAACATAGACAAATCCTATAATGTTAAATTTTATTTTTGAAAGATGCACTGTCGAATGACAATGAAAAATTCCATTGAATTATTTTAATGATTTTATTATAAGACTAAAATTGAAGCACTATGTGATAGTCAAATGTTTTATTATTTTGAAAGAAATAATAACGAAAATAACATTTAACAAAATTCTTCTTTTTATTTCAAACAAATTTTTGCATTATATCAGAAAATTTCAAATAAAATAATATAAAAATCATGAATATTTCTGGAAAATATAATCGCGATTATACTGTTCAGCTGTACATGAACTCTTTGAAGCTCGTATTTTGACATTTTGATAATCAATGTTCTTATGGACATGATTCCATATAGAGTAATCTAATGGATTTTCGTCTGGCGAGTTAGAAGACCACCGATCTTCAGCTATGATAATTAAGATTTCTAAAGTGTTTCCTTCCATTGTTATAATTGACAATAACGATATCACGAAGATCTTCATCTTTTATCATTTAAAAAATTCATCAGCATAATTCAAAGGATTGTTTCATGCAAAAGTATTAGAAAATTATACGACACATATTTAAAAAAATGATCTAAGGTTTTACGATTTGTAGTAGGTGAGATGTGTCCAAAATAATCAATGTGATTTTCATTTCTATTTCTTACAAAATATCCAATGTTGCACTTATTTTGACTCATCCGCGATAGATACTACTGAACTGTGAGTTTCACGAAAAGAGGACGGGTTTTTAGCTTTTTGCTGTGGAGATATTGCATTTTTAAGTCAATGCCACGCTTTCCTTCAGAAATAACAAGAAAAACTGATTTTTGAATTCCGACTTGAAACTTTACATAGAGACAATTCTTAACGAGAATAGTTTATTGTGAAAGTTTCAGATCTTTTGATTTGACCCTATCCTGAAATAAGAACATCGAATCTACTGGTGTATACGAGCGATGTAAAAAACACACTTTTATTGAAACTGTATCTTAAAATAGACACAACGAAAATATTTGAAATTTTCACAATAAACTATTCTTGTTAAGATCTGCTTCGATGTATAATTTCAAATAAGTTTTTCTGCTCCTCCTGTGGGAGATTAAGATATTGACTTAAAAAATACCGTAAAAGTCCAATGTCTCTGCAACCATAAACTAACAGTTTGTACTCTTTCCATGATATTCATAACTGACTATAGTCTACACGATGCATATAGTTCCGACTCAAAGGTGACTAATCCGTTGAGAGAGTTTTCTTGTAAAATCAAATCGTTATCAATGATCGTAATTAAAATCGACACATTTTTTTCTTTTTTGTATCTCGAAATGAATAAAAAACAATGTTTTATTTGTTTTTCGATAAAAATAGAATTCGTATTATTGATTTTTCATAATGTCAAATAAAGTATGCGATTTCTGTTTTTTTTTCTCTATGTTTGACATGTAATCAATAATCATCGAAAAATGAAATCTTTGTCTACTCAGATATTATCGATTGTCAAACATGGTTTATTATTAGCTGTATTTATTGCTTTCAAAAGAAGTTGAATTGTAAAATTTTGATTTTTACAAACACCATTAATTAAATAATAAAAATGCGACTATAGGTTTCAGAATAATTTTTGATCCGGCCACCGAATATATATAAGTTTGTACAGGAAAACGTATTCTATCTAATTGTTTATATATTATCAAATTCTGTTGCATACACTGAGAAACTACGCAATTGAACTATAGAGGGAGCAAACCGTTGTTGAGTGTGAACCACTATAAAAAAGAATGTGACAAGTGTGATCGTCGAACAAACGAACACTCTCGACCATCGAGAAGGAAGAGAAAAACTGTGTTAAAATGTACTCTCTAACAATATAACAGTTTATAATAATATATATTTCTGTAAGCTTCCTTTGTTTATTATAGCGACATTTATCGTTAGATACACAAATATATATAAACACAGTAAAGATTCTGTCGATTTGAAATATATTTTAGAATGCCATATTTTGAAACTATAAATACTGTTTCAAGTAGGCTCATGAAAAGAAAAAGGTAAAATGTTTTTTTCTAACTTATTATAAATCACATCATAACTTGAATATAAAGAAGAATCATATGGATTATGCAAGTAAATAGTGTGGGTTGCCGAACAGTATACACATCATCGGGTTAAGTTTTGATTTGGTTCTACATTATTTGAATTTTGGTGTAGGAAGGTTCCTTAAAAAAGTGTGAAATTTATGATTTTTTCATTTTAGTTTTCTTTCACAATATGCAACAGAATTTGATAATATATATATATATACCATGGGTTAGAGCACGTTTTCCTCTACAAACATACATGTATCCGGTTCTGAGTTGTTTTTTTGTCGAGTCTGTCGTATACTTGATAATCTCGCAATTGTTCTCTTAACAGTTTCATACTGAAAGTCTTAGAAGATTCGAAGCAGATTGAAAAGAGTAACAGCATTGAAAAAATCGAAATACAATTGCATAAGTTATTCTCATTAGAATTTAAACGTCAAATCAATTTTGTTCATTTGGTTATGTTAAATAATCATAGAAATGAATGAAAAAAATCGATTGTTTTACATAGAGTGTACAGATGGTAGTAGTGAATAGTCACTGAAACATCTTTGAACGAGATTAACATAACACGAAAATAAGTTAAATGGACCAATGAAATTATGTTAAGATCATTATGACATATTTAATTAATAGGACTATGTACTATTTCTAACACGATAGAATGATATGTTAGCTATTTATATATATTTTGGTCAAATTAGTTTATAGAAACTAACATCTGATATTATAGAAGTTAAATTATTATGAAAGTAGCATTAATATACATCAAGTAAGATAATAGAAAAATAAATTTTCTTATTTTATTTTTTTGTACATAAAGGATACACTTTATTTTAAAATCATGTTATTTATTCAATCTATTTGAGGTTTAAGTGGAGTACTAAATGATGATAAATGGAATTTAGTACAATAAGAAAATTTCTTTTCGTGTGTTTATTATACAAAAAAAACGAAGCTTTTTTTTTTCAGGTATATTTAGTTCAATTTTTTTCTTGTCTTCAACATTATTTGGTATTGTATCGGATCGTTATGGTCGAAAGCCAATGCTTTATGGGATATTTCATTTTATTTAACTATTTTTATCTTAGCGCGTATTTTTAATGAACTTTCAAAAGCAAAATATTGCTATTATATGAGCTATCGTATCGGATACGGCTACTGAAAAAGAACGAAATAGAACTATGGTATGGCGATGAAATAGTTTTTTATTGTTTTTTTAATTAAGGCTGGATTAACGAAGCATTTTCATGAGATCTTATTTTTGGTCGATTACTTGGTGCTTTATGTAGTTAATTTATTAATGAATTTTGTCCAGGAACATTATCAATGTCAGAACGAGTTTATAATTTTGTTTTTCTTTTTATTTGTTTGATTTCGAAATATTCAATAGAATGAAATGAACATAATTATGAACAAGGTTTATAATGCAATATTTCCTTGGTATTTATTTCAATTTTCTACTATTGATAATATTAAATCTAATGATAGTTTGAAAAATCGTATTTTTGTTTTATTTAGGTGTTATTATTTTACGCTATATTGGTTTAGCAAGTTTTTTCTATATGATTATATTTGTTGATCTTGAATTTACAATTACTTTCCTTGTTTACAATCGATTTAATTGGAATAAGTAAGAAATGAAACAATTTTCTTTGTATAAGGACATGTTTATTTTTTTTGCTGTGATATTTAATAGTATGAAACAAGGAAAAATGTTTTTTTTATTATGATTTTGATACAAGGTGGTTGTGTAAGACAAAAATCTCATGATAGAGAAATTACAACAGCTATAAGTGTAAGTTATTTTTGATTATATCCATAAACATTCGAATTGAGAAGGCTTGAATTCTTATTCAACAGTACGTTAAAGTTTAACTTAAATATTCGTACACAACTATTTTTTATCGTAGTAAAGTCTTGTTTGATAAGGAAAATATTCATAAATAAAACTCGTTGAATTCAAAAATATTTCGATTTAAAAATAGAACAAATGAACAAAGAAAAAAAAAAGAATTAAACGTTAGTAGGTCCTCGATTTGATGTTCTAAATGGTGGTTCTTCTAAATTCATAATAATTTCATCTTCTTCTCGTTGTTGTTCACTAATTCCACCTGGATTTTGTATTGGACGATCTCTATCTAATTTTTTATAATGTTGCAAACGTGCAAACAATGCTGATGGATTTTTTCGATAATAATAAATTCCACCAAACAAAATACCAATTAAAACTATACCAATTATTTCATATAAGATATAATGTGTGAGAAAATTTTTAGTTTGTTTTATAAGTGATTTTGATTTTGTTTTTATTGAATCGATATATTGAATTGAACATTTATCTAAATTGACTTGATTATGTTTTGGCATTAAAGTTCCATTTTGTGCAAACCAATTAATATACATATATAAAAGATTATCATTTGAGTTTGCTTGTATACAACGATCAGTTAATTGTTGAGTATCATTAAATATATAAAATAAACGTAATGGTACAGTTAAAATTGCATTTGATTCAATAATTTTTAATGGATTACCCGTTAAATCAAGAATTTGTAAATTAGGTGATTGAAATGCATATTTTTGAATTGTATGAATTTTATTCCATGATAAATTAATATCATAAAGACTAATTAATTTTCGATGAAATATATATGATGGAATGATTTCTATTGAATTTAATTTTAAATTAATTGTACGTAAATATCGACCAGTTAAATTTCGAAATAAATTTTCTAATGAATCAATTAAATTATTTGATAAATCAATTAATTTTAATTGTTCATTTTTTAATAAAGAAAAATTTTCAATTGTTTTTAATGAATTATTTGAACATTTAAGTTCATTTAATTCTAATAAATTTTCATTTAAAATTAATTTTTTTAAATATTGATTTGAACAATCTATATAATTTAATTTCATTTGTTTACCTAAATTAAGTTCTTTTAAATGATTAAAACTTATATCTAAACGACGTATATCATAAAGATCAATTTGAAATAGATATAAATTTGTTCGAGATATATTTAATGAAAATTCCATTCCATCAAAATCATTTTCAAGTGGAATATTTGTTATATTCATAGGAAATTTTCCTTCATTTTCACTATAATCAATATTTTTTGTTAATTTAAATAAACTTGTTAAACGTCGTGATAAATTAAATGTTTGATCACGTATTGTTGAACGTAAATTTATAGATTTATAAATTGTGTCTGCACGCCATTTAATTTTATTCATTTCAATTGGATTATAAGCTAATGATATATAACGAAGATTTATAAAATTATTTAAAGCAATATGATAAAAATTATTATTTGATAAATCAAGATGATTTAATATAGGGAAACGATCATGTGTGAACCATTCTGGTAAATATTCAAGTTTTAATTGACGTAAATATAAATTAATTAATTGTGTACCACGAAGATTATCAGTCGACTGTGTTTTACATTCTAATAAATGTGTTAAACCAATTGTTATATTATTTGATATTGATTCAAATTGTATAGATGATAAATCTAATGTTGTTATTTGTTGAAATAAATCAAATAAACAATTACCATTTAATTCTGTATTCAATTGAAAACGAGAATTTTGTAAATCAAGTGTGCCTCTTATTGTTCGTACACCATCAAATAATCGACTTGAATTAGAAAATGTATTTTTATCATAAACATTATTACGTAATATAAGATCGCGAAGCTTTGAAGAGATTGTATCTAAATTTATTTAAAAAAAAAATTAGGAGTTTAATGTACAGTCTAAAAGATCTATGATTTTTTAATATTGTATCTATTGATATCATCGAGAAGAAAAACATGAAAGGAAATTAAATCAATAGTCCTTCATCCGATTAGTATTTTCTCTATCAAGTTTGCTAGATTTCAATTTTTCTCACATGCAAGAATTTTATGAAACATAGCTGTTGCAATCTGTAGCGAAAGAATGAAACTCATTGTGTGAAGATAGAAATTTTTTTATGAATGTAAAATATCAAATGAAAAACTTTGAAAGTTTTATGATTAGAATCTAAATCATCAATAAAACATAGGGAAATGTCAAATCAAAGAATATGATTAGGGTTTTTTTTTTATTGTTCTAACAAGGCATTGTTTTATAAACTATGTCAATCAAAATAAAACTGAGCAAAAAATCATCGACAAAAATGAAGTATTTTCTAATCTGAGAACAAACAAAAATAATTTGATCTTTCATATCTTTTGCTATGTTACATTACAATTAATATTTTATTTTGTTATAGATGACCTATCGCCAGCACATAATCATTTTTAGAGATATGGAATTTGGTAATATAAAAAGATAATTTATACAAAATTCTATTTTAAAATAAAATATACCTGGTGTACTAAGACAAGTTTTATACATATCAGATCCGCTTAAATCAAGTACTTGAAGATATTTAAGTGGACGAAAAATTTCTTGACATTCATTTGGTATTTGTTTGCAACATGAAGATAAATTTAATATTTTTAAATTTTCATATATAGATGAATAAAATGAATTTGAATTTAAAGTAAAATTTTTTTCTTGATTACTTAATGAAAGACTTTGAATTGAATATGAAAATTTCCTTAATTGAATAGTTTTATTTGTAAACTTTTTCAATGATAAAGAATTTGATAAATCAATTGAAATAATATAATCATCTTTTGGATCATCATCATCATAGTCAGTAGTTTTATCTTCATTTATTGACCATTCTTCAGCTTCATAGATAAGTTGTTGATTATTTAAAAATATATTTGAACAATTAATCAGATAAGACATTCGTGTAAAGTCAACATCATCCATATCAGTTGGTTTACAAATACATTCGGATGGACATGGAAATGAATTAATGATTGTTAACGAAGATAATAGAATAATAATAAAATTTATAAACATCTTCTTCATGTATGCTCTTCAAGAAAAACAGAGAAATGAAAAAAACTCTTGTACTTGCTTCCTTTCTTTCGATTCTATATTCTTTAAAAGTCGACAGCCGGCAGAGTACGAAAAAAAAATGATTCGCTTATTTTTCTTTTTTTTCCCTGGTTTACTTTTTACATATTGTGCAAGAATGTTAGAGATACGAGAGAAAAAAGAAGAGGTAATAGGTCACTCTTCTTCGTCGTTTTTTTTTTGTCTATTTACTTTTGCATATAAACAACGCGTCAGTTGACTTTTGATGATTGTAAAACAAGTTTTATCATTTAAAAGGAGGGCTGCCTCTAGGTTAGCAGGATTCGGAGGGGAGGTTGAGCATGTTTTGAGAATTGATTAGTAAAAAAAAGAACAATAAAACGCTGAAACTCTGCTGTCGAAAAATGAAAATTTTTCAAGATTGGGCGAAGGTGGGGATCACTCACTCGGAACATTCGTGTTTAAAATTGTATATAAAGAGTGTCCTATAAGTTAAAGATCACTCTTTGTTTACATATAAACTAATTTTCGTCGAGGCTCACAATTTATGAAATATCTTTTATGTATGATTTACTTGTTAAAATGAATTTAACGCAATATCCTTCTTACTTTAATAGTCAAATGAAATGATAGAAAATTTTAAATGATAAAATACTATATGTATTTCACATAACGGATGGTGCAAACGTTCTGCATTAATTCTGTTTTCAATACAGCGTGGCGATAACTCGCCATGGAGACTCAATACTCGAGCAGATAAGAATTTCTGAAAATACTCTAATCGCTGTTTCTGTTTGAATATTTTTACATCTATCCAGAAAATACTCAAGTCAACTACTTACATCATAAACAGTGGGTGAAGACGCATAAAGAGGCATGTTTTGTACGTGAAAAATGCGCAAATATTTTTTTTGCAATAGTTCGATGTGTTGTGCAGATAAAAATGATTTTCTTATGCATGGTATATGTTTAAAATATTATGAGAAAAATTTCCCGACGTTTTCCAGATGCAAGAGTTGTCTTTTCAAGCATCTTGAATTACCGTCTATGATGAAGATAGCTATTGTTTGTGTTTTCTAGGTCGAACAAACACGCTCGTAAACGACCGTAAAGGTGGTCGTTCACTGAATCCGTATACTGTTTCTGAATGGGCGTGAAAACGTTCAAAGAGCAACTGCGAATAACACTTTATCTGGAAACCTTGCCTGTTTGGCTAGGGACGTCATGTATGAGTGTAACCAATGGGATGCGGACTTTCTATTGGTATCAAAAGGTTTCATAGGAAATAGTTTTATTAAAAACTTGTGTTATATAATTAACGGACAAGGATTACTTCTCAATTGTTATACATATACAGCTACTTGACGTTATCTTTTTCTTCTTCTTCTCGATTCTCTCTTTTCTATCTGTTCTTCTTCATTTTGTATTTCGTCCATATAACAGCTTGTCGTCGTTTTTGTTTCTGTTCTCTCCATTCTCTCAATCAATTTAAGGGCATTTTTATATACATCTTTTAACAAAGAAGAAGATTATTCTGGATTTTTCTCTCTTTCCTTGTTTATATAAATTTTCTATTTTTTACAATAAAATTGATTCGCTTGATATTTTATCTAACTACTTAACTTTGTCTCTATACAACACTCAATGAAATTTTTCTCATAATATCTAATATTCTGTTTTATATAATGTACTTTTATAGACGGTTTACTAAACTCGATTTGGACATAAAATATGAAGTTTGACTAACTATCACAGTGCTACAAAAAAGACAGAAAATAAAACAAACTTTCTTAATAGATGGAGGTTTTCTTCTAAATTTCAGAACTATGTAGAGAACTTTTTCGATCTTAAGACTTTTTAGACTTCCGTATGTATTTTACACAGAAAAAAAATGAATAACGAAATTTGCATTATCTATTATTTCACAAGAATGTTCGTACTTGGAAATGATGTCATGTAAAATTTAATAAGAACATGCTTGTGATAGATAAAATGAAATGATTCTCTTTTTTTTGAAAACTTGTATGCAGCTATTCTCATGACAAGACTATCTAGATTTGATAAGAAAGAAGGCCTTTAGGTATGACATATCTCATAACACTCAGTCAAATTATTGTATAATCGATGAAAAAACTCTCATATTTCATATTCTATTGCTGAATAGTGAATTCAGTAATAAGCCAAAATGTGTAATTATAACCAGAGAAATGTTTACACTAATTAATTAATAGAAAAAAAATTTCCCATAGAAAAACTTCAGATGTTTGATTCTTCACCTACTGGCACTAATCGAATAAATTTGGTGTTCAGATAACTAAGAGAATAGCTTATGCAGGTACTGATTATGATAGATGTATGGTTAAATTTGAACGAAGTTATTTCACTGTGAAGATGGAAAATGGGACATAAATAACTCATTCATCTTGAATGACATAAAAATTACATTTGTTAATTTGATTTTTTTTCCATTGTTATGTTGTTGTTTTTTTATCTGTATTAAGCTGGAAACTTAATTATCATGAATTAGTTTTCTGAAAAAAAGGCGATTATATATTCGAATTTTAAAATATGGAATCATTGGCTATTATTTCGCCGTGAAATTACCCATTCCTATTGTTAAGGTCTCGTCTAAATGAAAGATCACAAGAAAAGCTGCAGGTTTTATATCTATTATCGATAAGAAACTATTTAAAAACGGTCGTGGAATACGTTTCGACTGGGCTATTAGTTCTAATAAAGTTTTTAGCATGACGATCATGCTATTCATTACGAATGGGTCAAAAATGATCTAAGTTGTCATGAAAAAGTCTGCTTTCGCATCTGTAATCAAGGAATTTTTAAAAGCTGCTCTGCTATTACATTAGGTCTGTAGTGGCATTCATCAACTTTGACAAAAATCAGATTAATCAGTCAGTGTAACCAAATAAAATAAGAAAAAAAAAATTGTTTCATTGTTTTTTTGAAAAAGTACCGTTTTCTAATTAAAAAATCTTAACCAATGAATGATAAAAATAAGTTTAATTTTTTTACGTATTTTTAGCTTATTAAAGGACTCTACACAATATTCGGGAACTATCTCGATTTGATGCTTTATGACTCCAAATGGATAGTTTCTATGAATCAGTCACAGACGATCCAACAGAAGAGTAAAGGATTAATCATAAGCCTCTTGAATTAAGTAAAATAGTAGAATAATTCAAAAATCTTAGACGTAAAATATTTATTTTGGTATAATACCGAAAGATCGAAATGAGAAATGTCGAAACTAGAAATTATCAAAAAAAAGTGATGTGCCAAGTAAATGCTGATTTATACATCTATAGACTATCACTGAGACGGCGTCGGCGACGTAGCAGGTATTTCAAAATTATTATCGCGGCAGCAGCTTCTTTTTTAAAGTGACTGTAAAACTGTATGAATTTGCATCTGATTTGAGTGTCTACAAGTCCATCAGTCAGAATCGTGGTGAATCTAATGGTTTCGATCTAATTGTGCTAATTTAGTACAGTGATGGAAGAGATTTTTGAAGAATTTCTCAAAAACTGTGGCGACAGCGGCAGATTTCCAGTCGCGATGGACATCTATGGTAGTAACAGTGATACATAATACGTGTTAGAAATTAACTAAAATACTCGGAAAAATAACTACTATACAACTAAAAGTCTATCATCGTGGTGGCAGCCGACTCATCTTCACTAGATGTAAAACATGATTCGTTTATTTTTCCTAGTTTTTCTTTTATTATTATAGAAGAAAGAAAAACGTTATAATTTCAAACGATGTTCTATATGAAAGCTACGAGCGTTAAGTATAAGAAATATTTGTTGCACTCAGTATGGTAAAACTTTATTAATCTAAGTTTAATGCATGTATTTTCAACTAGTGCAAAAGTTTTTTTAAATTTATCAAGAGTTTCAATTTTCTGTTTGTTCAGCCATTATTTCCAATATCTTCCAGGCTGAAATAGTTAGTTCATAGAAGTTGCGTCTGGTAATTTGGACATTCATTCTTTAGATTAACACAATTAATTTTTGATTGATTCAAAAAAGCAATGATTTTCTTTGAAATATGACTGGGACAATCGTCTGGATGGAAAAAAAAACATTTTTTGTTTTTTCTTTGTTTGAAAAAAAACAAGAAATATCATATCATAAAAATAGTTTCAAAATGCTGTCAATGTAATCATCTGAATTAATTTTGGCAGTAGGTTTAAGAAAATGAAGTTACGTCTTGCCATGAGTTGAAATACTAACCTGTACCACAAATTCTTGTGGACGAGATGAATCTTGTTGAAATATCATTCTTTCATAGTTCGAATCGGTCTTTTTTATGTAACGAACCTTCCTTTTTTTTCTTTCAGTGCTGTCGAGATAGAACCAAAATTCGTCGATCATAATAAAACTTTTGTAGCGATTATTAATTAACTGTTTATAAAATTGACATGCACATTGGCGACGTTTTTCAGCGTTCGATGGTATTAATTTATTTACTTCCAGTTTATTTCGAAGAGTGAAGTTGACAAATTTAATGATTCTTGGCTGACATGAGTAATTTGGTAGTGGAACATTGAATAAGCGGATCCTCCGCGTCAATAGTTTGAATTACTTTTAATACGGTCGATGATACAGACACCAGTTGTTTTCGAGAAAATTACATTGAGTTTTGTTCAAATAAAACATTTCTTATGGTTTAGTTTAATACTCTTTTCATTCAATAAAATAGAACTTTATTAATAAATAAATTGTTTTTTTTTCACGTATTTAAAATCGTTTAGTTTCAAGTATGGTAATCAATGTTATCAATAGTTTTGCATCAAACTATGGTTTGTAGAAGTTTATCTTTTCTTTTCTAATAATATTCTTATTAATTTTTCTCATAAAGGTTTACACAGTAAAAAAAAAGTACTATTATGTTCTGTTCATATTCTTGTTAATGTTGAATGTCATTTTAAAGAAATGTGTTCAATATCGACAATAACTGCTACGAAAGTAGAAGTTTATTAAACAAGTAGTGATCAAATATGTTTCAATGATTAAAAAAAACAAATTAGATCACTTGCATTTATCAGTGACTCATTTATAAAAAAAAATTTTCTATTGATAAAGCGGATTCTTTTTTGCATTAATTTTTTATTCAGTCAAGGATTTTTGTGTGTGCCATTGGCTTTTTTTTCTTTCATTTCTTCAAACACAGCTGGTAGCTTTCTCGAGAATAATTTTCGCTTCGATGTACGAATAAAAAAAAAAAGTATACATAACATGAAATCGATGCATTTTCTTTTTCACTTTTTATTCCGTTCTGTACGTGAGTGAGTAGAGTAACCTTACAACATGCTATAAAAAGTAATGAAATCAATCAAGCGGCAAGTGTGTAATCATTTTTGTTTATTATCTATTTTTGTAAACGATTATAACCGATTTAGATAATTGATTTTTTTGTTATTTGTATGAGATATGACACTAGATAAAATGAAAATTTGGTTTGTTTAGTTTTTTTTTGCGTGCGAAATTTATTTCTATGAATTTTAATTGGAGAAGTAGTTAGCAGTAGTTTTGAAGGTTTTTTGTATTGACCTATATAAATCTTGTCGTTGTCATAGAAAACAAAAACACATTTATCCTAATAGTTCGAACAATCGAAATAAACATTTGATTACTCGCGTATATATTTCATTTGTTTGTGCAGTCTTTTGTGTTCTTGAATTGTGCAGAAATTATTTCAAAATATTTAACATTAGCATGGAATCGAATGATTCTGCTTTATCTTATGCATCAATTCAAATTCATTAATAAAACTGTTTTATAATATTCATTTCAATATTTGTTTTTGTATTTGATTTCATTTCTTTATTCTTATCATGAATAATCTTATTATATTTTATATTTAGATATGTTGATTTCTTTATTACAAGTATTATTTGCTGCAATACGTACTGTTTTATCATCAGCTCTCAGATTAGTACTGTATTCAATAATATCGCGTATTTTTAATGATTGGTTGGGTTTAAATAGTCTTATATCATTTTTTTGTTCGGCTTTTTGTTTATCGAAAACAATTCGATATTTCCAACGTGCATGGTTCAATGCTCGAATAACAAATAAAAAACCAGAAGAAAAAATTATTCTTGAAGAATTGACATGGCAATCACCAACGACAATATCTATAAAGTCAGTACAACATATAGTTTAATTTTAGAATCGAATTCAATTCAAAATAATTTTCTCATCGGACAAAAGAAAAAAGGTCATTGACAAGAGATTGAATAGAAAAATTAATAATTATACATGAACTACTAGAAATCGAAGCGAATAAGAAAATCTAAATTCTGTTTAGATTTGATTTATGTTGAAAATAAGAATATTAGACGTATTAGAAGACTTTTGTATAATTAATTAGTATATTTAAATCAAAATATGCTGAATTTGAAACTGAAAAATGTTGAAAAACAGAGATTAACATTACATTTGAACTTTTAGAAGTCCAAAAAATCTCTTCCGAAATCGTTGTCGATTAAAAGTTATAAAAATAAATGAGATACAATAGGAGATCTCTCTGAAAAACTTGAACGCTTGGATTTATTAGAAGATCCGAAATCTTCTATTGTGAAAAGAGGCTCAGCCGTAATGCTGATTATTCAATCGATGTAGCAGTCATCCTAGCGCAGAACATCAAAAATCCGTTTGATAGCTCGAAATACTACGTAGAACTAGAAAAATCTACAAAGTTTGTAGAAACAGACGTAGTTATGAAAATAGCTGCATAAGTGTATGTTTCCTCTAAAATTACTAATCTTAGAATGAATATACAGAAACTGACTTTTTTAAAAAAATGAAAACACAATCGATAATCGAAGGAATTGATAGCTCACATGAAGGGCTTCAGTTGTATACTGAAGCGGATTTTGTAGCTTGGTTTTTGATAGTTAATAAAGAAATCGGTAGTGAGTCAAATAATTCAATTTGGTTTCATTTCATTTGAATTACTATTTATCAAATGTATTGTTTCGTATTCGATTTAAAATAGCACAAAATGATTGAATAAATAACTGTTTATTATGGTTTTAGTTATAAATTTCGACATTTGTTCAAAGACTTCGATAGTTCGATTCAATTAAATTTTAATATGAATCAAATTCGAATTATCTAAGAAGTTTACAAATTAAATATGTAAAACCAAAATATTCGAATAGTTATATCCTTGTTTTTCTATTTCTCGCATTGGACAGCTATCATTCTCTTTTTACTGGAACCCACCTTTATTTTATCCTTTGTAGTGTACATAGGCAGTGAAATGTTTTGAATCTAGGCTAGGCTCAACAATCTTCATAAGATTTTCATCGTGAAGTTAAGAAGAGGAGAGAACGAATTTTTTTAAAACTATTTGGATGAAACGCAGTTAGTGCTTCTTTTTTCTAACTTACATTTTGCACTCTGTCAAGTTAGTACGATTCAAAAAACGATCCACATGTTGCATCAAAAAATATTCATTTGAAGAAGAGTTTTTCGATCTGTTTTACTGAACAAAAATAGAATAATAGTAAAACAGCATCGCTGACAAAAGAAAAGGAGTTCCAGTATGGGTTCGCTTAGTCAGCCATCTTTTCTATTCGGACTTTGCTACAGAGACAGTTTAGTTCTTTGTTTGTTCTTTTTTTCTCTTATTTCTTTAAATAATAAGATATTTGTTAGAAATAAAAAAATTTAAAGGGTACGACACGTTTTGATATAAAGATTAAAAAAATTCGGAACAATCCCAATTGGTCCACGTGACGGGATAATCGCGGTTGTCCCGTAGGACTCTACCATATAAACTTAGTAACTAAAGATGAAGAAAATTTTTGACAGCTTGTAGTTTATCTAATTCGGATTTGTAGTATAATTCTTTTTGACTTGTAACTAAGGAATACTACTTAAAGTCATTAGCAATGTAGGGATCAACATTGTATCATAAAAAAAAAAGCTGTTAACATAATCTCTGGAGGATTAACTTGTAAAACACGATGTAACTGCTCTTATTAATCACAGAGCGATTTATTCTTATATTGTAACGAGCCGTTATTGACGAATAATCCCTAAATCTATCAATTTGATAGAATGAAGAACAAATGCTTAAGCCCAGGACACCTGAATCTAGGATAGGCTTCAGCTTACTCAAGCGTCCTGGCTCCACTGTCTATAGTTAGATATAAAAAAAACAGTCATCTAGATCATTTGATATATACCTTTTTTTTCCATTCGTCGTTTGTGTGCGGCAACGAATGTTGAAGATTGCTCGTTATTAAAGACAATAGATATAGCAGACAACTTTTCTTAAAATTATAGCAACGCTCGTTATAAAATCTTATTCATAATCATTGAAATCGTAAAAAAGTTTTGTTTTGTTTTCTTTATTAGAATGGATACTGAAAATGAATCAATTGATAAATTTGAAAATGATTGGAAATATTTACTTGATGATGATATGAAGAATATATTTTCATCAATTGTTAATATACCATTTAGTAATGCTTGGTTATTTATTACAACAATAATAGTAGTTAATTATCAAATGAATAATTTTGATTATAGTTATATAGGATCATTACTTCGTACAATTGGTCCTTTAATTATATTAATATGTGGTTCAACTGTTCGTTATCAAACATTATTTGAACGTGATAAAAAGGATTTTTTTAATATAATGATTAAAAAACGTGATGAAATTGAACGTTATATTATTTATTCAAATAATAATAATATTCCTGTTGCATCGGTTTGTTTACATATATTAAATAATTCCGAAATACCAACGTTTATGATACAATTATATCAATTAAATTCTAAATTTAATGATTATATACATGATATAGGAAAATATATGTGTCAAAAATTAATTGAACGTATAAAAATTTATGGAAATGAAAATAAACAATCTATTCGTCTCATATGGTCATTTCCAACATGTAAACAAGATTGGAAAATTTCAATAAATGATAATAAATTTATATTAAAAAATACATATAAAGATTTTTCATTTTTACCATTCATTAATTCTTATGTTGAACAATATGAATATTTTTATGAATACAAAGAAATAATTAATGATACAATTAAAAACGAATAAAAAGATAAACAAATAATAATATATCTTTTTTTTTGTTTCTGTTTTATTTTTATTTTTCAAATAAAATAAAAAAATCAAACTAAAAGTCTTTATTTAATTCTGAATAGGTAATGTTGAAATTTGTTTTGGTTCTTGATGATGAAGAATAGTAACAGGATTTTTATTGTTACTTGTAGTAAATGATTTATGAATATTATTATTTGTTCTACAAAAGAAAAAGATTTTATTAAATAATTTCTCATTGAAAATTTTTATTTACAATTGTTTTTTATTATCAGCTGATCGAATAGAAGAACCTGGACTTAATGAACGAGGTATTTGAAGAAATTTTGCATATTTACTATAATCATGAACATCATTTAAACCTAAATAAAAATTATCAAATTTTTATTTTATTAATAATTTTATAGAATATTTGGTTTTTTTTCCCTAGTGACTCACGAAATTTTGGTTTACAATTGAAATCTAAAATATAAGACAAACAATAATGAATGTTCGAATTTTTTGTATAAATTTAAATAAATAACTGTTTTTAAGAATTCTTTGTCAACCGGTAAATCTAATTAGGAAATGATCTTGAATAATATTATAATTTCGATTCTATTCTTTCTTCATAAACAAAATCTTAATAAGAATATACGAAAATCTTTAAGTCTTTCGTAGACTTGATAGCATACTTTCAATTCATGAAAGGTTTCATGTAAAAAGTTATTAGCACAATTACTGTGAAACACATTTCTTCACCTTCCTGTTACTTAGTCCATCGAGAAATACAATAATAAAAATAGTTCATATATTCCAACGAGCCGATATTGATGGACGGTCTGTAGTGCAAAATCCTACTCTATATTATACTTCAACATTCCTTTTTTTCCAAATGTCGTTCTTCTGTTTAATCTGATATTTTGATAGGACATTTGTTACATAGAGTTGGTTCCGAGAGTCTTGAATTGATATCCTGTTGACGATTTAAATATGAAAATTGAAATTTTTGTAAGATAAACAGACTATAATCTTATGAATACAAGTGTTAGTTTATTTTGATTGCTTATTTTTATAATAAGGAATAAATATTAAAAAACAACTTTTATATTTATAAAAGAAATAATAAAGAAAGTTTTTTAATGGAAACCTAATTTTTAATTTTTACTAGGTACCTTAGTGGATGTACTGAGTTCAGAATATCCGGTTACCAATTTTTTCACAAGAACTTATGGATATTTTATGAAATTTTAGCACTTGATTACAAAATGCTTCTAATTGGTCAATCTACTAAACTTGTTGAAAAATTTTTCATAGAATGTTATAGAACCTGGATAGATATCTGAATGTGTACTTGATAAGTATTCATGTACTGAGTTAATTTTCAGTAGGATATCCAATCAAAACTCTGTGACATACTCTAGAACTCAGTGCATTCGTTAGGATTGTTCACAAAAATTTATTATATTATAAATACAAATAAAATATGCAGAAAAATTTTTTTGCATACATTTTTTTTTCTATCAGCTTCATTTTTTATAATATCACATCGAGAAGTAATGCTGGCAGTAGGAAAGAATATTGATTAACATACCTGTTGGTATACTAGTATTTGTCTATTTACCTACCACAGAAAGAAATCTGTCGTTATTTGTGAAAAAGAGAGAGAGAGAGTGCAAGGATGGAACTAGTATCATTCTTAAACTATCAAGGTGAATCAAACTGTTTGGTCACTAGCGATCTAAACCTATCCTAATTATAATAAGATATAAGAAGCAAATTAATACACATATTAGGCTAATGTCTTGGCAAGCGACAGGAAAATGATTTCAATCTTCGAGATAGCGATCGATTGCTTTGAACTCCTATGCTGGTATTTTCAACTAGTATCTTGTTCAGCATGAACGAAGCGATTGATACTGGAATTATATTAAGAGATATTATGACTTCAGTAACTATCAAGACTCTCGATTTCTCATTATTAAATTTCGCTCCATATGTAAATGTCATTGTCATAGAATAAAAAAATTCTAAGTTTTCAATATTTGATTGATCATATTTGAAGAGCAAAAATCGATACCTAGAATAGTTTGATGGCTATTTTCGCATTATTGAGAACTATTTGTAGCCGAAATTAACTATGAAACTTCTTTCGTAAAGTTATTCTACTAATCTAGATATTGAGTATTCAAAAACAAAACAAAAAAACTTTCTACCTGCTTTCAAACGATCAGTTAAAGTTTGTGAATACGAATGACTTCGTCGTACTTTAATATCATTTATATCATAAATCTAAATTTACACAAGTGAATCTATAAAAAAAGAAAATCTCTTTTGTTTTTTCTTTATTTACATGATATTTTTCTAATAAAGATAATTGTTGACCTTTTGTTAATGGTAATTTACGACGAATTCCAGTTGTTTTTAAACGTTGATTACATGATTCTTTAATTGAATATTGTTGTAAATTAAATTCAGATTGTTGAGATTTTTCTATTACATCCTGATAATATTGATAAACAGATTCAGTAAAAGATGGATCAGGTTGAGGTTCTTCATGAGATGTATCTTGTTTGAATATACGAGTTGATGAACAACGATTAACAGATACAGATCGTCTTGGTTTCTTATGTGCTTTACCTTGATAAAGATAAAAAAAAGCAGAGTTTTTGTTTTACTTAAGAAAAAAACTAACGAGATTGTTTTATTCGATTCGATTCGACATGAGAAATATCTGTTGAATGACTTGTTAAACATGAACTTGTACATCGACGATCATGCCAATATTTCGTTTGACCCTGAATAACAATTAAAAAAAGCAAAGAAAATAGAACAAGATTGAATAATAATACTTTCAAAATGTCGATTTGGATCAATTACAATGCTTGATGAACGAATTTTTCTAGGTAATATAAAAAAAAACAGATATCGATTTATTTATAATAAACAATGAACTTTGTATGTTTTGATTTTGGTTGTTCAACTTCAAATATACTTTCGTAATCGAATTCTTTTCGAGATGAATTTGAGAGTTCTTCAAGTAAAATTTGCTCACGTAAATGTGACTAAAAATAAAATAAAATAAAAATAAAATAAAAAAAATTCTATTCGTTTTTATTAATTATTTATCTTACATATTTAAAACGTTGATTAAGTAAAATTAAACTTGTACTTGTATTTAATGCATCATAAAATCCTGACATTGGATTTGAATATGGTCGATCATTTTCTGGTGAAATACATGCTCTAAAAATTATTTATTATTAATAGAAAATATAATTAACATTTATTATTTACCGTGAAAATAGCTTTAAATATTCTTCACGTGTTTTACCTATACCAACTACCGCAGATGTTTCACTAAATTTATCCAGTTGATAAGGTATTGTTTCTGTAGACATGTACTTTTGTTTGTCTTAGTTGTTACACAGATGAAGTATACAATAATAATATTATTATTCTTTCTATTTATTTCAATCTTTCTCATTTTTTTTTAATCAATGCTCTTTTTCTCTCTCTCTCTCTCTCTTTTGTTTCTATTTTCTTTTTATATAAAGTAAAGAAGAAAGAATTATTTACAGATGGAAGTTTTTTATTGATTTATAAGTTGAAGAAAGAATTGAATGTGATGAGCTTTGTTATAATAGTTGAGAATAAGTATAATAACATCGCGATAGATGTATTTAGACGATTCATCGTTATGGGATGATGTCGATTTTGACAGAAAATCTTTATTGATCCATAATCAAGAGAAAAGAAAGAAAAATATATTTATAGTAGTTTTATTTGTATTTGCTTTAGTTGAAGCCATTATAATAATTTTTTTCAAATTAAAAACAAAGGTCATCTTTTTTTCAAAAGTAGATTGTTTCAATTTTGTTTGAAGTTTATTCGATTTTAGAAATAAATATAGTTCCTTGACTCGATTGTCGTTGTGAACAAATAATTTGAAATAAATAATATATGAGTAAAACAAATTATATCGTTATCATCTCTATGAGATTATAAAATATTCATAAAATTATTGTCTCTCTTTTCAATATTGAATTAGGAAATCTATTCTCACTTTTTCTAGATTAACATCTAGATTGAACTGAATAAAACAATCATTCACGTGTACTATAGTTTCATTTTTAATATCTGAATCAATTATACATATTTGACCAATGTAGCTATCATCAAAGTTCGATAGTAATAAATGAGAATTCATAATTAAATATTTATCACTGATAAGTCCGTTATAACCGTTCAATTTGTTGCGAAAACATTTCAAAAAAAGAGAGCAAGACTGCCGTCCTTTTACGTGACTCCAAATAAGACGTGGAAGCTTTTACATAGAACAGCTTTATTTTTATTTTAAGTACATTTCACTTATATGTGTATACAAGGTGCTAAGAAATCAATGCTATTCTGTGAGAAAACGACTTATAAAAACATATTTTTAATGCAATATTTGTATTCAGGCTTTTTTTCTCAGGAAATGATCAACGATATTTATCATAAAATAACGAAGTTTTTTCTATCAGTAGAGCTTATCGGATCTGAAAATTTTGGATCCGACGGGCTCTATCTGTTAGTTATATGAGTCCATTGATAGCTAATACACTACCATGAATAATCATCTTCATATATGTCAATATATTTGCACCATTATTTCAATGACAATAAGTCCCATAGGCTTGTATTTGACTGCTCAATATACTTTTTATTACACGCTCACGAGGGAACTACACGAACTGATAACTGCCGTTTGGACTTACAAGGAGGTTTCGATAAGACCAGAAACATCCTAAAAGGGTTCGTGCCTATGAGTCTCTGGAACTGAGTCATGATCGTTTTACTGAATTTTTGATTCAGCTTTAAGTATTTACCGAAAAATCATGTAACAGAAATATCAGCCTGAGATTGTGCCTATAGATAGGTCTAATGGCTCTGATAATATTCTGAAAGTTTCAGCCCAAAAGAATGTTCCTGTGTTGAGCTATTGAATTTTCAGAAAAAATGGTTGTCTACCACAAAAATTAAGTTTACTTGAAAATTCAATACCTCGATAAAGGAATATTCTTTGCAGCTAAAAATTTCAGGATGGCCTACTAGTCATTCGACCTGTTTATGGGCAAAGTTACAGGTCATAATTCCATCACTTGATTTTACGGTAAATACCTAAAGCGGGATCGAAAACTCGATAAAACAGTGATGACTCAACTCCAGAGACCCATAGGCACGAACCTTTTTAGGATTTTTCTAGCCTTATCGAAATCTCCTTGTGAATCTAATATGATCTCAAACGACGGGCATCAATTCGGGTAGATCTCTCGTCAATAGTTTCTACTCAACAAATTTTATACTGAAAATTTGTTTATAATACTGATCGTTTAATTCATTTCCATTCTTATAAAGTTTATTTTTATTTGACAAAAACTATTTATTTATGATTTCAATCGATTATAATCAAACTTCATACATATACATACAGTCACACATACACGAAACAAAAAGATAGTGCTTGGTAAGACTAAGACAAAAAAAAGAACAAGTCAAAATTCCTACGAATATTATTTTATACTGCTGTACACATTTGATGATTATTTAAACTAACAGTTGTTAATGATTTGGAATGTGAAATTGCTGATCGAGGTGGTGGTAATGGTGGTGGAATTTGAGATGATTGAGGTGAACGTTTTCGTCGTGGTAAAGGATCTGTATATCCATTTGAATCAACTTCACTAAAAACACTGTACGGACGAATATTTGTCATTGAAATTGATTGTGGAGGTAAACTACCAACTGAGGTTGTTAACATTGTACCTAGTTTTCCTTGCCGTTTCATTGTTGATTTTTTAGGTAAAATAGGTAATTGATGTTGTTGTTGTTGTTGTTGTTGTTTTTCATTTAAATGAGTTACTTGTTGATGTTTTTTTTGTTCAAGTATAATAACACAGACACGATAAAGTTGTAAAAGAACAACAAGAAAATTTTTTGTTGTAAAAAATACATTTGATTGTGAAATAATTTTATAATGAATTATTAAACCAAGACGAAGACAAAGAAATGGACCATCTTGTAAAAGAATTGTTGTTGAAAGAGCCTAGATTTTAAAAATTAATATTTTAAAATAGAAGAAAACAAATATTTACCCATAGTTCAGTTTCCCAAAATAATCGCCAATTAAAACATTTTTCAAGTTCTTCTGGATCTATTGGTTTAAAACCACCACTACGATTTTTACGTGATTTTGTTGATGTAACAACAAGTGTAAATTGCATTAAACTTATTGACCATGCTACTAATATAAGATGAACAATTGTTAAATTACGTTGAACACCAGGCTCTTTAAATGCTTCAAACAATTCAATAATATCCGCTATTGAAAATAAATGAAAATTATTCGAAACAAGAAAAATCAATTTTACCTGCTGTTCCAATATAAACAAGTAATAATTGTGAAAGTTGATCTCGTGTCATTGTTTTTCCAACAGGTAATAACCAACGTCCCATAATAAGAACAAGAAGAAGTGTTTGTTCAACAATTTGTGTCCACATTTCAGCTGGAATTTTCCATGGAATAAGCTATGAAGATAAACAAAGAAAAAAAGATATATTTTTTTCTTTTTTAAAATAGAAATATTCAATCATTTTGTTTTACTGGTAATGTATCTTCGCTATCAACATTAATATTTCCTTGTGCTACTGGAACTAATCCAAGTGCTTGTGTTACATTAAAATTTGATCGTCGTTCAGCTAGATCAAGTTCAAGGAACCATACACTTGGTATAACTGTACATAAATAAAAGAATACAGATGGACAAAACCTAAAAATTCATTCATGTAATGATTATTGATATATGTAAGGTGCGGGTAATGCAAAATTTGAGTGAACTTTTGTTTTCATTCATTTATATATGGTTGGATAGAGCTTGAAAAGCTGATCACGAATATATAGTTTTTACTTCGAATTGATCGTTGTTTGGCTAAAAAAGACTTTAAAAAACTCCAATGACTCAAAAAGTCATATTTTCACAATAATTTTTTTTTCTACAATAATTGTCAAATTCGAATTCCAGTTACTTTGTGAACTGTTTGGAAATATTATATTCTGATTCAGCATTAAAAACTGACTAGAAAAGTGTTATTTGAATGGATTTAAAGTTAATAGATTTAAAAAAATTCTATCTGGTATGTATACCTCCACATGCCTAAAAACATGTATTTCTAGGCACTTTTGTAAACCTATCTAGTTTTTTGTAGTGAGAGATAGAAGCAAGTGTCTTATCTCATTAGAATCGCCAAATCAAGAGCTACAAAAGTACCTATTTTGTTTTTTTAAATTTTCTTTTATTATTGAGAAAACTTAATTTTTCCTTTATATGCTGGCAAAATAAGACAAAAGAACAAAAAACGCTTTGGTTTTTGGCAGAATTGAATGCTAAGGCTCATTGGAAATGCTAAATACATAGCATATTCGGAATCAGCGTAAAAAACTGCATCGAAAAACGTATGCTCTGAAGAAAAAAAATTTTTATGAAAAATACATCTGCACTCCCCCCTTAGCTATTTTTTTCTCAAATTTTGTCTGTGGTCCCCTAGGGGACAATTTTTCGTGGAAAAAAATCTTTGTTAAAAGATATGTTTCTTTATGCCGTTTTTTATGCTGATTCCGAATATGCTATGTATTTAGCATTTCCAATGAGCCTTAGCATTCAATTCTGCCAAAAACCAAAGCGTTTTTTGTTCTTTTGTCTTATTTTGCCAGCATATAAAGGAAAAATTAAGTTTTCTCAATAATAAAAGAAAATTTAAAAAAACAAAATAGGTACTTTTGTAGCTCTTGATTTGGCGATTCTAATGAGATAAGACACTTGCTTCTATCTCTCACTACAAAAAACTAGATAGGTTTACAAAAGTGCCTAGAAATACATGTTTTTAGGCATGTGGAGGTATACATACCAGATAGAATTTTTTTAAATCTATTAACTTTAAATCCATTCAAATAACACTTTTCTAGTCAGTTTTTAATGCTGAATCAGAATATAATATTTCCAAACAGTTCACAAAGTAACTGGAATTCGAATTTGACAATTATTGTAGAAAAAAAAAATTATTGTGAAAATATGACTTTTTGAGTCATTGGAGTTTTTTAAAGTCTTTTTTAGCCAAACAACGATCAATTCGAAGTAAAAACTATATATTCGTGATCAGCTTTTCAAGCTCTATCCAACCATATATAAATGAATGAAAACAAAAGTTCACTCAAATTTTGCATTACCCACACCTTATATACATCAAGTGTAACTAAAATTTTGCAACATTTTCTCTTGTAGAAATATCCGAACTGAGAAATAATAGATAATTAGGTCTAGGACAGTTCCAGATCAGTTGCGATCTTGGGAATTGTTCCAAC